CTGGGCAACTTCATTTTAAAATAGTTTCCCCAGTGATTCTCACAACCTGCCAAGCTTGCATCCCACAGCCTCCTTCACTACCTCCATTGAGCTGAGTGGATTTCCCAAGGTGACACACACCTTACGGTGAGGAAACTGAGTCTTGCACAGAGTGAGTAGGTTTTCCCAGGTCACAGAGCTAGCTAGGAATGGACAGGTTTAATGCTGCTCCTTCTCTGTAGCTGTGGCTTCCTGCAAGAGTGCCTGGAGCAGAGTTATCTGTGGCCGAGGGGACCCTGGCCTTCCCCGGCCTGTGCTGCAGGCTGACAAGGCAGCAGCAGGAGCTGTGTGACATTGCCTTCAGGTGAGGACAGGGTCTTCTCAGGACCCCGTGGTCTCGAAGCTTTCTGCTGGTGACTGTGGGATATTATGCCAAAAAACACAGGGAGTAAGGAAAAGGAAGGTTTTCGCTTCCATGTGGGTTTGGATGACTTTGCCCTGAATTTTAAAGGAAGAATTGTGCTCATAGAGACATAATAATTGAATGAATGTTTGAAAGGATAATGATTTAATCCAAGAATTTTGATTAAACACTTGCTATGTGCTAGCTGAGAAAGATCTGGGATTGCACTATTCACTCAGATATTGAAAGAAACACACAAAGGCCATCAGGATTTTGATGTGGACTGCCACATTGTGTCAAAGCCCTGGGAAACCACACTGAGAAACAGGGTATCTCCTAGAGCCCCGCCTGAGGTTTTAGACCGGTAAGCACACAGGGCTGCTAGATTTCACTCCAGCTACACAGATCATTGCTAGCATTGCATGGGGGACTCACCGGATACCAGGCACCTTCACAGATTAATTTTATCCTTCAAGGCGGATGTTATTCTCCCATTTTATAGCTGGGAAACTAAGACCGAGCTAGTTAAGGGATTGACCAAAGCCACAAAAACGCAAGTGATACAGCCGAGATTCAGAGCCAAGCGTGCCAGGGGAAGGGAAGAAGACGCGCCCCGGCTCCCTGCCTGGCGTTGTCTCAGGGTCACTGTGTGTCTCACCAGACACGACATTTATTGACAGCACGCTGGTTCGGTTTCATGTTCCCTTTTGCACCTAACAAGTTCTCCACACAATGTAAAGAAGCATGCCTGCTGAAGTAGAGACTGTAATGCAGGAGGCAATCCCTCCACGCATAGAAATCTGTAGCTTTTAGTTGTTTGCGATGAATCTCTTTCAAAATAAGAATAAATGGCTCAGAAAGTAAGATGGATTAAACATAAAATTGTAATTGTTGCAATTGTTTTTTTCTCTTGGTGTTCCCTGAACAAATTAAAAAGAAAACCTAATTGATACGGTGAAAGATACTACGCGCACAAAAAAACCAAACCAAACCAAACCTAACAAAAAAACTCATATTCTTTTGTAATTTTATCAATGGTTTTTTCTGAAGCTTTTGCTCCCTTTTCAAAATCTGGAAGAAAACAGTAAGGAGGTCGATTCCTTTCATTCATTTCAGAAGAACCTTGGTCTATTTGTAATAATAAAAAGATTTTTCAAAATTAATTAAATTAACATAGTTTCATTTGTAGGATTGACTTTGGCATCATGCGGCGAACACACCGCAATAAACTCGGGAAAGCCGAATTGTGGTAACCATAGTAACAAAGTGGGCGGGGGGAGCAAAAACAGCTCTCACCGCATCCCGGGAAGCGTGGACAACGCTCTGAGGTAGTTTGGCCGATTAGGCACGCCGTAAGTCGCGATGCATGCTGGGTCTTGGCAATATGGCGTCCTCCTTGATGTGCTGATGAGAGGAGTTTCACTGTAGCTTCAAACCAGAGGGCAAAACTCCCCAAACCCAGTAACCCCACATTACCCGTTTTCTCCGCGGCTCCGTGTCGCCTGTTTCCCAGGACTCGTTTTCGGGCAGGAGAGCGCCACGGGGCCGAAGGTCAGGGCCGGCCGGGCCGCGCGGCCCCGGGGCTAGGGAGCCGGCTGCGGGCGAGCACGATGGGCCGATCCTGGCTCTGGTTGCAGCAGCTGCGGCGAGCGCGGGACCCGCAGGGCTGAGAGTGGCAGGAGGAGACCCGAGGCGCTCTGAACCTCTTCCCTTCGGCCGGAGACCTCAGCCCAGGCGGCGAACCGGCACCGAGAGCGGGCGGCCTGCCTGTCCTCGGATCGGCTGAGGCGTTGGAGGCCGAGAGCAGGGTCATCGTGAGGCCTCGAGTCCCGCACGCCTTTGACAGCTCGGCCCGCAGCCCCTCCGGGAACGGACGGCCTCCGGAGCAGCCAGGGGCTTGGGACCTGGGGCCGCGTGCGTCTGAGCGGACGGAGCTCCTCGGGCTGCCCGGTTCCCCCCCGGCTCTTCCCACCCCCTCCGACTTCCCGCTCAGAGTTCGGAAGAAGGACCTCGGCAGACTTTTTGCCCGAGTGACGGTCCCCGCACACTCGCCATCCATTTCTCTTTCTACTCCCCCTTTTCCTATTTCTTATTTCACCCGTTCTGGTGCACCCTAGTTTTTAAGGCTGGAGGTTCTTGAGCGCTTGCTGCCAAGGACTCCCCCACCCCCACCCCCCCTGATGGAGTCCGAGATGCTGCAGTCGCCTCTTCTGGGGCTCGGGGAGGAAGACGAGGCCGACCTTACAGACTGGAACCTGCCTTTGGCTTTTATGAAAAAGAGGCACTGTGAGAAAATCGAAGGCTCCAAATCCTTAGCTCAGAGCTGGAGGATGAAAGATCGGGTAAGTGGGTTCCGTCCGCGCCCCTTGGACCTTGATAGTTTTTCCAACGAAGAAAAAAAGTTTGGAGCCAAACGCATGTCCTTGGGAAAGCTGCGATTTTTTTTTTTCTCTCCCAGCCACATGTTGCAAGTCAACTAAAAAGCACAAACCATTTCAGACTCCAGTTTTTGGCTATTTTGGTTAGTAATTCACTGGATGGTGTTAATTCAAACTAAGTTCTGATTCAGATAATAAAAGTTAACAAGCAAGTTGGAAAATACAGCTTGCAAGTATTAACACGCTCTAGAGGAAAGACGACTTGAGATATAATACTTGTACCCACGTGGTTAATTAAGCTGCTGTGGTTAGTTTAACTTCCTTAGTCCAAGCTAGGCTAAGTGCAGAAGTCTCACAGTGTGCCAGGAAACAAGATTACTGGCAAATGTTCAGCTAGTAACAAATTAATGCAAAGTTATTTTAAAGTTACAATGAACTTCAACAATTTGTCTTGAATCCAGACTTTTCTCCTTTTATGTGGTGTCATGTTGCTGTAACTCGGAAACAGAATTTCTCCAGTAGCGGAGTTCTAGTATGATGGGTTGGAACTTGGGTCGAGGTTTTAGGAGGGTCCCCGTGGTGTTGGAGTGTGGACAGCAACTCACAAGCAGCTAGTAGTAGGAAAGAAAACAGCCCGTCTTGTTGGCTCTGTCCTTAATCAACTACCATCTGTTTCTGGGTCTCCAAAGCAAATGAGTGGGGCTGTCTCATCTGTGCACACTTATTTGTATTTTTGTGATTTATTTCCTCTTCAAGACTGTATTTATTTGAACATTTTGGTGGTATAAGGGGGATAGTTGGGGTTACAATGCATTGTGATTGCTCTGGGCTTATGAATGTGTTTATATGAGATTATCTTTTTTAGTATATGATGTCGAACATCTGTAAGGTTACCCTTATGGTAATTCTTGTAAGTCAGTCAGTGGTAACCAGTGCTTCAGTTATCGATTTGGCTTACTTTTTAAAGGTTAGGAAAATTTGTTTCAGCCCAAAGTGGTTTAAGGAGACCAAAAGAGATGGTCATTGGAAGAGATTGTATGCAGTCTGTTTCATGGACGTCTTTAGTAGCTTTTGTGGTTACTTGGCATACATAAAAAGTTTTATTTTGAAGTTACTGTCTAACCATTTTTTAAATTCTATTTGGATGGCATTTTCCCCCCCTCCTTTTGAAATGTGGTTTCCTCTGCCATCCTGAACCCATGCTCAAACTATTAAAACTGATTAACGGATATATTTTTTGACCTTTTAATTAAAACATTAATTTGCGAGAGATCAACATTTCCTGATGAGCTTTTCAGAGGTTATTAGGAGAAAGAAGAGTTTCGAGAGCCCGAGTAATTACTGAGACTCCTACTTAGAAAAGAGCGGGGGTGGGAGGGGCAAAGTTTGCCGTATCTGACATTTGCAAATGTTGCGTGAGGAAGGAACTCAGCAGCTAAAAGTCTGGGTTCAGTGTGTGGGAGCTTGGGTCTTAGCTTCCTAGTAGTCTCCTTCCCCTGGTTAGGCCCAAGGGGACCTTTTCAGCACACCCTAGTAGGACAAAGGCTGCAAATTCAAATGATGACAAGGTTTGGAAGGTAACATAAGTGAATGAAACAGGCCAGATACAGGAAGAATCCTGGCACAGATTCAAAGGTAAATGGCCGCCGACATTTGACTTGTGTCTGGGTTTCGGGAGTGGGGATTGGGGAGCAGTGAGCACAGCCACTGGGGGGGTGGTGGGGGCTGGCCTTTCTCTTGCTCTTTTTTTCTTTGAGAAGAACCGGAAACCTTTAAAAAAATTTTTTTTTAACGTGAAGTATTCCAATTTCAAACATTTGGCATGATTCAGTCCATTTGTGGGGCTGCTTCTGGCCGGTGGTCACCCAGCTGTGGGTTCCCTTAGAGCAACTGCAGGCAGCCACTCTGGTTCTAGGGGTCTGGAGCCCGCAGGTGTCTAGGCCGCGCTGTCTCCCTGTGCTCGAGGGGCCTCCACAGTTGTAGAGCAGCAGGTGCTGGCCCGGTTGTCTTGTGCGGGCACCGTGCAGGCCGCCCTCCGTAGGCCGCCCCCGGTGGACCGCTGACTGCCCAGTGCGCTCAGCCCTCGCTTCCTCCCACGGTCGAGGTACAGTTGCAGATACTTTCACTTTGTGTGTATTAGTGGTTACTTACTGCTGTCCTACTTATTGGGGTTGCTCAGGGTCCCCAAAACACATCCTTGCTAAAGTTCACCGGTGACTCCTGTAAGCGTTCTGCTGCTCAACATGTGTCCCCTTCGTGGAGCGGCACACACGGCCACTCTCGGGGGGACCCCACAGTCTTTGTTTTGAATCGGCCCTGGTTTTCAAATGCTCTGTTATTCCGTTCTAATTACTAAGTTACTGTTTAATATGGTTATTATCAAGTCAGTTTGTTGTTTGGTTAATTCTGTGTGTAGTGAGCGATACAGATATGCATCAATGGCATTTGTGGCTTATAATTTTCAAAGAACCAGCCTTATTTGAATTACAGTTCAGCATGCATTGTTCATAGACCTGTGGCTAGAACAGATGCTCCTGTCTCTGCTGCCCGTGGTTTACTGCCAGACTTTCTAGTTTCCACAGAGCTCCTTGTCCCGCCGGAGCGTGGGCCTGTGGGGTAACTGGTCTCTGGTGGAGCCTCTGCTTCGTGTCGGTGGGTGGGAAACGGGGAGCTCAAGAGCCATTGCTCCAAGAGGGAGCCCTCGGCAGACGTGCTGGAGCGACGGGAGCAGGACGTGTGGGTGTGAAAGGTGAAGCCTTTCCTGGACCTCCGGGCCTGGTCGCCCTGCCTTGGAAGCCATGCTCGGGGTGAGCCTGGAGGAAGCGGCAGATGCACTCACCCACGGCACGGACCGGAAAGGCTACACGGCAACACGTTACAACCCGGTTGCCCCCTCCCTTTGCTCACCTCCAGCCTCCCGGTCTCCTCCCGGTGGGCTGTCCCAGGGCATCGAGACCGCCCTCTCCCTGCGCGAGACCTGGGTGCTTCTCTCGTGTGACCTCTGGGCCGCATGCCGCGGGCACCCCTGGCCTTCCTCCCTCGCCTGCGTGCCTTCACGTCTTCCTCCGAGGTCTCTAACCCCTTCCCCAGATGCCTATGCTGTTGGACGGCTAAGTGTGGGGGTGCCCGGACTTGGTCTTGGGCCCTTTGCTGGCCGATCCCTCCGGGCTCGTGATGTTAAATGCCACCCATGTGCCAGGGACTCTCAGACCCCGTCTCCAGCTCCGACCTGCCCCTGGAACCGAGTCTCAGACACTGAGTGGCCTGCTTGGCCTTGGTGTCCCCAACGCAGTGCACTGTCGCCGCCACCCACTCGCTGTTTGAGCTGCACGTTCAGATTGCGCTTCTTCCTCTTCCCCCGCTTGCTGCCCTGGCCAGCCCATCAGTGGGACCTGCCGCCTCTGCCCCCAAAGCCTGCCCTACATTGACCGCTCATTTTGTCTCCACCGCCGTGGGCCTAGTCCAGGCAACCACCATCTTTCGTCTAGACGATTATAGTCATGTCCTGACTGGTCTCCCTGCAATTGTTTCTGCAGGAGGTGGCCAGGGGGCTCTCTCAGAAGTGTCAGTCACATTCCATGGCTTCCTTACGGGCCTCCCCGCTGGCTTCCCCAGTGCTCGCAGAAGGCAAACTCCGTGCCTGGTCCACAAAGCCTCCTGGTCCGACCCCACCTGTGTTTCCTGCTTCGCGGATAGAAAGGCCTGGAATCCCCTTCCTTCTGACCCTTGCACACCTGGCCCCCCTTCCCTTTGCATCCGGCCGCTAGGTCACTTCCCAGAGGGGCCTTTCCCGCTCACCCCACCCAGAGCAGTTTCCCGAGGTCATTCACGATCACTCTTTATTTCTCTGATACTTTTCTTTATGTTCCCACCCCCAGAATGGAGCTTTTTATCGTAAAGCAAGGACCTTGTTTATGCTGGTATTTAGGACAGTGCTTGGCACAGGGCAGGGACTCAGTGAATATGCCCGTTTACAAAGGGCGTCCGCACAGACGATGTCTTTGAAGACTCAGTAGCACTGTAAGTTAGTTCGGAATCATCTCTGTGTGACGGGCGAGGAGACAGGCTGTAGTTAAGTGACTTGCTGAAGCGGCGTAGGTTACGTGGTTAGCGACGAGAGGAGGTGGAACTTGAGAAACAAAGTCTAGGTTAAAAAAACCAACCAAACAAAACTGTCACAGTGTCTAGACTGAAAAATCCACATCCAGAGGCCAGGGAGTCTAAAGCTGAATGTCCTGGGACGACGACTCGGCGGTGGCAGCCGTGCAGACGCGGACAGGGGACAGTGCTGGCTGCAGCGTCACCGTCATCAGTGTGCTGCGTGGGCCCGGGCACCCCTGACCCTTCCAGGGGTTCAGATGGTAACTGAAGACGTCAGTGGCCTTGCCTGCTGAGCTGAGGTGTGCACTAGGAGCAGTGGTGAACCGCTGGTTTCTGAGCGTGGACCGAGGGGACGGTGCCCGCCATACTAGGCAGCGGCGTCTGCTCCCTGCCGTGAGAAGCTCCGGTTCCACCTGAGTGCCCGTGACGGAGCCGCAAGTCGGTCTCATTACGCTGTGGCTCTTCGGCGTGTACCTGTTGACATTTTGTGCCAGCCCTGCCCTGGCGGCATCGGGCGCTGCTTTTCACCGACACAGCCGGGCTGGCAGAGGCCAGTGGGCCAGCACTGGGCATCCAGGCTCGGGCGCTTGGCAGACATTTTCTCGGAAATGAGCAAAGTGAGCTGTCAATTCGAGGAAACCAGCTGACACTGTGCATTTGTTGCCAGCGTTTTGGAAAACCTGCATCCGCCGCTGTGAGCTCTGCGGCTCCCAGAGCTTCAGGACTTTTCTGACGAGGTCATGGTGATGTTCACGAACGTGATCGTTTTGATAGTGTAGATTGAAACGTGCCCACATTGGAACACCTGCATAATTCAGTGACCCTGTGTTTTCAAACGACCCATCCATATGACAGAATCATCT